TTTTGATAACCGAGAAATCCGTTTGTGACCCGCCCTTTGGACCAATCACAGCCTTCTAAACTCGGTGGATAATGGGCCCGCCCCTCTACCCTTCTCCACTTAAATACCGGGCTTTGCTTTGCATGGTGTGGGGCTTGAACCTGTGACCTAAGCCACAAATCCTCCACCTTTTGCCACTTGAGCTAGGCCTTGGGGGCAACTTGGTGAGAATTTAGGGGAGTGTATTTCACTCATGTTGCAAGATTGGGGTGTGTTTAAGTTCAGTTAGTCAAGTAAAGGGTGTTTTTTAAGGCTGTCAAAACTCCTCTCGTATTATAACAATGAGACACTAAACACCGATAAAGTTATCTTCATATGACCTATAAACAAAAGTTACATACCAACAAAATGTACAAACCAAACCGAAATTTCATGTTGTACATGTTAAATTATATCAATGAGACACTAAACCACATATAAAGTTGTTTCTCTGTAACCTATACAAAAGTAACATACCAACCAAATCATGTTGTACATGTTACATTCTATCAATGAGACACTAAACCAGTAACCTATAAGTCACAAGTTCGAACCGTGGAAACAACAACTAATACATGCATTATGGTAGACTGTCTACATTATACCCTTTGAGATGCGGCCCTTTCCCAGACCCTACGTGAACGCAGAATATTTTGTTCATCGAGCTACGTAGACACTAAACCATTGACACAGTTATGTAAATACTACTCAATCCTTAATCATATATTTCAGATTCAAACCTAATAATCTCATTGCCTAATAATTTCTATCTATCACGACAATGTAAAAGATATTTACACATCATTTATTAGATAATTAAATATAAAATCTTTTTGACTAATAATTTCCACTTTTGACTTTCACAAACATCATCTTTCAATATACCCTCACATAAACAACAACAACAAAAATCATGCAAATATTCAAAAATTCCATAAAATTAAATCCAAAAAAAATTAAAAATTTATACCAGTGAACTTGTTTGCATGAACGGAGAATCAAGCAATGCCGCCGGACTAATGCCGGGAGGTATCGTCAGAAAATCCATCCGGCAAGGTGGCGATGATGACGTGGCCGGTAAACAAAAATATCACTAGAAGCTCGTAAATAAACGTTCACCAGCAATAACAATAACATCGCTTCAATCCCAAATAAATGAAGAGAAATTTGCTCATATTGTCCGTCTCAAATACATTAAAAAAACGAAAAATTATAAGTTGATAGCCAACGTAAAACTACTAAATCTAGAGATACTTTGAATAATTAATGTAAAATGATACCTGAAGTGTCACTACGTCAACTTGTTTGCCTCGAAAAAATCACATTTGGTTGCCTAGCATTCAACAAATGCTAGGCTTATTATTACTAATAATTAAGAGGAATTTTCACTAAACATTTATTTAGATTAACTTAAAAATTTTCACAAATTCTTGTTGAGTGAAGTGAAAAGTGGATTATTTTTTTGTTTATCGTAAGGGAAAAAAGCTACTATAAGTAGTGAGATTTTTAAGTATTTAGTTACCATAAAAATAGGTTAATTATTTGGTTATCCTGAAAAAGTGAGAAAAGAGGTTTTTAGAAGGTTGAGAAATATAGGGATTTAGTTCTCTATAATTACTATTACTTTATCTTAAATTAATAATGATGATAATTAGAGGATAATTTAAGTTATATATACTGATAATGTATTTTTTTCATTATTAGTGAATTTTAACCTTTGATAATATACATGTCATCAATTATTATTTTTATCAGGTTAATTACCACACTTCATATTTATAAACATTTTTTTATGTATGTATCTAATATATCATCCATGCATATAACTTGAGGAATATATTACTCTAAAAAGATCACTAATATATTGTGTTTACACTAAACTATATAAGTTTATCATCGTTAAATATTTAAGTGAAATAAGAGTATATATATTATTATACACGTCCATAATAGATATAAATTACCATTTTTAGCATGTTATTGATCTCCTAATATGTACTTATAGAGATTTTTACCATTTTTTCCTATAGTTTGAAATGATTATTTATTGTCTCACTAATTAATAATTCCCTACCAGATTTCAAGTCAGATATACCTAGATACATGTATTTTTGCTATCAGATACACAAAAATAGCGAGAGAGGCAAGCGAGAGAGGAGGGAGGCGGGTGAGATCTTCAAATACATGTGAATCACACTATATACATGTATCTAGGATACTAGATACATTTATGTATCTAGGATACCAAGTATTTGGGATACCAGACACATGGAGAGAAGCGAGCAAGAGAGGAGTGGCAAACCAGAGACATGTATTTAGATGCGCCAGAGGCATGTATGCGAATTTCAAAATCTGATAAAATTCGTAATATTGCAATCATGAAACTAAGTAATTATCTCCTTAATTAATAGATTTTTTGTAAGTTACATTATAATTCATTCAAGAAATGATGGATTGTATACATATTTAATAATACATTGCCTATACATAGAAAATAACATATATATTATGGATGATGAATTCACCCGCATTTAATATTTACACAAACTTTATCATGGTTCAATTGAGCTAAGAATATATATAACAGGTCAATCACCGTATTTTACCATGTTACCATGTGATACATATTTATTGAGAGTATCTATAACTATCTTTCTTATAAATAATTTGATTGGGTACGTTATATTTATTAAACAACAACCCATGTATAGAACTTCTGGTTTATATTACCTAGAAACTCGCAAGCACAAGGTGACTTAAATCAAAATTTAGAAAAAGAAATTACTTCTAGTTAATAACTTTATATTTTATTTTTATACTCATTAACTTTTTAAAATATAATGTAGTTAATTATAATTTGATAAAAAAAAAAATCAAGATAGTATAATATTTTCTTGTATATTCGTAAGACATAAATAGGCACATATATATAAAAACTATTGTATAACAAATGTTTAAATCATATTAAATAAATTCTTATTGATTATAATTTTGAAAACATAACAAATTTATCAAAATTATTCTAGAAGTATTTAAAAATAGAATTAAGATTTCACGTGATTGATGATTGAGTATAACAAATAGAATATCATTTTTTATTTATATAATATTTTGTATTCTTTTTAATTAAAAAAAAAAGGTTTAAATCATCAATTTTGTAGTGATTGTTATATTTAGAAGACATTAAAAGTTTAATACAAGGTTTTTTTTAAAATGTAATCATTTAATAATCTAATTAGTACGAGCTTGAAATGTCTAAGAAGTCGAATGAAAGAATATATTGAAGACGATCTTACAATATCAATATGAAAACATGATTGATTCAAATTGAAGTGAATTAGAAAAATTAAGAAGTAGAAAGTCTACATCAACAGTATTTTTAGAAAATAATAAAAATTTAAAAATACGTGCATAATATTAGTAAGAGATTACCAACAAACTGTTAAGAAAATTTCAATAAGGGCATCATTATTTTCAGGGGCCTAAAGTAGGGTTGAGCCGGTGGTCAAAAAGAAATATGAAATGCATTTATTTATTTGATATAAATACAAAACTGGATAAAAACAAAATTTAAGACAAAAATATTTTCTACTTGGAAAAACACAAAAAGTGTTTTGGGGAATATATTATTATCAGAATATTCGTGTACGGTATGTACATAATTTAGATAAATTTACGTGAATCAAGCAATATAGTTAATTATAGTTAGCATATTGTTATTCTTGTAACGTCAAAATCAAAATTAATCACTAGTGTACTATTTTTGCGTTACAAGGGTTAACTAATTAACTAATCTAAGAATTTGTGGTTCTTCTACAATGTTTTCTAAGAAAATAAATGGATTTTTTCTTTAATTTTATCGGGTACATAAGTAAAAATTTATTATTCAAAAAGTATTATTGTATAATGTAAACAAATACTATAAAAGGTAGATGTAGGGTGACGGTAGGGAGTGTGGGTGGTGAAAATGAGGTACATATGTTGCCATGTTGGAGGGTCGAAAGGATATGGACAATATAAAATGTCACTTGCGGAATTTATTTTTCTAATTTCGTTAAGAAATGAAGAAGTCATGACCAAAAAAAATAAAGAAAGCACAACAAATTATTCTGGGAAAAAATGGATAGTAACTACGATAAAATGATAAGGTAATCGAAGTATGAGAAAAAAAACAACCGAGAGTAACAGAAATTAAAAGAGAATAGTCTACAAGAGTACATACTACTACTGATATGAAAGTAGAAACTAAGCAAACACACAACTATCTACTAACCTTCTGTCCTAATTTGTACTCTCTGTAACCTCTTGTCTAAGGTCATACCATCAGCAAGCTGAAGTTGTGTCATGTCTTGTATAATCACATCTCCTCAATACTTGTTTGGATTACCTCTACCTCTCCTAAAACTTACCAAAGTTAACCTCTCACACCTCCGCACTAGAACATTCGCACGTATCCTCTCCACATGTCTAAACCACCTTAGCTATTCACCTCCCTATCTTGTCTTCTACCAAGGTCACTGCCACCTTGTTCTGAATATTATCGTTTCTTTTTCTAGTGTGTTTCGAATCTATTATACATTATTAGATGAAGTATAATGATATGAATCAAAGCTTATAAAAAATCATATATAGGAAATATATATACAAAATTTCATGGAGTAAATTATTACAATCTAAAACTATCATTGTTGTAAGTTTGAAGAAGTGAGTCTTGAATTTCAAATATAAAAAATGAATTTATCAAGGGAAAAATTCGAAAATGAAGATTAGTAGTTGAAACTTCAAAAAAACTACCCTCAGTTTTGAACATATATGTCAAAAACTATAGACATATATATTCAAGTCATTGTACAATTTCCTGCATATTCAAAGCTTGATTTTGGCAAACCTAACTTCAAATCCATATGTCGGAAGCTAGCATGAACAAGCAATATGTCAAACTTCAGACATGGATTTGGTGTCGTAGCTCAAATGGGGGTCCCAAAATCGACTATCTAAGCACTTATAACAATAACAATAACATATTCAGTAAAATCCCGCAAGTGAGGTATGGAAAGGCAAAAGCATATAACAACATATAATTTGTCAAGCACAAAACAGCAAGCTACTTCATGAAAATTCAACAGAAACATGTCTATGTTACAACTCTGATCAGTTCAATAATACCTCTGTTCTATTCAACAACAACAGAACAAATTACCAAATTTATTGTCTAAAAAGGAACAGGAATGTAGTTGTTCAACCATGTAAAAAGTTGACTCCTTTTAAGCTATGTTTGCTCAAGACTCTTCAAAAATGACGACAGGTGCATTGTCGCAATATTTTTGGAGAGTTCGAGCAACGTAACTTTTAAATCAACTTGTGAATGGTTTTCATATCAGCAGCTTCTTGGATGGTCCCCTTCTCAACATGATCCCACCATTTGAACAAGAAGTTGTCAACAACAAGTCTGAACCAAGGAGATAGCTTCAAACCTTCTTCACCAGCATCAGCTTTCCTCAGAAGCTCTTTTAGTTGCTCTTGATTCACATATTTGATGTCAGCAACTTCGTCCGGGTTCGGGTGAACATTGACATCGCGAACGATGAACAGAAGGTAATCGACTGCAATAACAAAGAAGGAATCAGCTAGGAGTTATACCTATCTGCTCAATGCACATTCATGCTTTTGTGAGATATGCACTTAATTTAGTAATTAACTACGACATTATAATTAGATTAATAATCAATAAATAGTCATAAAACCAATTTGGCCAAGCTTCCGAAATCTACTTATTTTGAAAAGTATTTTTTGCCCAAAGCAGACCAACTTTCTTAAATAAGCCCTTTTGGCTTACTAAAAGGTTGGATAAATAGGTTACAAGCACAACAAAATTAAAATACAAGGAAGATGTTACATACGTTCATGCTCTCCCCACTTCCCATCAGATGGAGCCTTGTAAAGCATACGGCCCAATGGTGTGAACTGGTCAACCGGGACATCTTCAGCAGGGATACCGAGTTCATCAAGCAGCTTCCTCTGTGCAGCGTTTCTTACACCTAATAATTGAAAGTACAACACAGAATAAATTGAATTTGAATAAGAGAAGCCGGGATGGTAAAAGTTAAAGACTTTCAGCTTAAACAGAAAATATACCAAGAGCATTCTCCTCGATAAGCTCAGACTCTCGGTAGAGAGGATGGCTGCAGCATGTGTTTGTCCACACCAAAGGAAAGGTTACCTTTGTTGCAGATCGTTGCTACACACACAACACAAGAATAACATATATTAAGTGTTTTAATCTTCAAAAGCTACAAAGATGTGTCTCAAGTCTCAACTACAGATCATTTGACTACTTATTTTATAGCTTGTCTAGATATCAACATTCTAATATTGAGACGCTATCTTACGATGACAAGAACTGTCACAATTGTACACTACATAATCATTCAGCACTTGCAATCTATTTATGCGACATACCTGAAGAAGAAGTTCATACTTTGAGTTGAAAAGAAATACACTGAAAGCTCTGTGCAACAAATTCTCAGCTTCAATCTTTTCCATCAAATGACCTGCACATCAATAGCAGGTAATTGAGCAAAAATAGGAGACATGAACAAATGATCATATAGACATGATCGACTGCTCTTGGAGATAATTTTGGTTTACTCAAACTTTCACAGAATAAATGCAGCTTATAAAGTGATCTAACATATATATAAAGTAAGTTAAAATAAGCAAATTTGTGAATTCTAGATTCTCCACTGATAAACTCCCTTAATTGTGAGATAGCAATAACATTGAATCACACAGACCTTCAACGTCAAAATAAGATACAGCTACCTAGGGAAATACACAAGAAGATAACACACACCGGGGAAATTCCAAAGACAGAGCAAAAATCTAAACTTACAATTGTACTTGGACTCATGACCAACAACCTTGTCATTCACATCCACCAAAATACATCTGCAAGTGTTAAAGAAGAGACAGCTTTAAACCAGGAGAAAAAGGTCATAAAGTTGCCGAAACTATAAAAATGCAGATCAAACATTGATAACAACAACAACCAAGTTAAAAGAGAAACAGGGCAGCTTTCTTAGTGAAAGTTCCCAAAAGATTGTCTTGTAACAACTAACACGAAATTAGTGAATTTTTAATATCCCGTACATAACACATCTTGAATTCAGAAGTGATTAAAAAGCCAGAATTTTAAGAATCCTTGTATAGGACAACAAGAAAACAAATCTTCAACTCATACACTAATAAAGCTTGGTCTTACAAGAGATCACACCAGTAAAGTCATGGTCATTTTATAATATTAGAAGCAAAATCTACACATTCAGAACTGATTTTTCATGCAAAACACCAACCCTCCTTAAATTCAAGAAAGTCGAATATTTTCTCACACTTTCCTTTTTAATCTATCCCAAAAAGATTGTACCTTTCTATAATTATAAAGCCAAACAATGCTACATAAATTGGGACGGAAGGAGAACAAGCATCAATCTAATGAAAAATCAATGAATCAACTTCAAACTAGCTGAAGTTAACTAGATGAACACTCTATATCTGTCCTGTTTTTATTCAATCTCAAACTCATTCTAATACTTGCAGTAACTAATAAATCTTATATCTACGAAGATTCAAAGATTTGACCTAATGATCAATAAACCATATGCAAAATTAAGAATACTAGGGCACAAAAAATATACTCCCTCCGTTTTAATCTTACTTTCCTTTTTAGTCCATTTAACAAAAACAATGTCTACTTCCTTTTTAACAACTCTTAAATTTCAATTCTCCACATAAAATGTTTAACACTTCATGATTAATACATTCTACATATCTTTTTTGGTTTAAGACCAAACAATTCAAAATTCTTCTCTAATTTATTAAACTCCGCGCAAAGTCATAACCAGACAAACAAATCAAAATCAATGAGCAGGTGATAGGTTCATCAGTACTCAAACCCTACCAATCATCAAATGCGGTCTCTGATTCAAATCTCAAGGCATTTACACTAGCTAATTCCTTTTAAATCTATCTGAGCTTTGGTGAACAAAGTTACCTGATATATAACTAAACACCACGATTACTAAAAAATAAATTAACTTGAGATCGATATAAGAATTCATAAACTCAAATCATAGATCTGCCTCAAGAAAATGAGATTTGTATACAAAAACAAATTAAAAGTACGAAAAAATACTGAAAAAATAGTAAAAATTGAAAAGAAAGATAGAGAACAAACTCGTCGTCAAACATGAGACGGCGCTGAACAGCATCCATGTTTGCATCAGCAACAACATCAACCATTTTTGCAGAATAGTGAGATTTGAGCGAAGAAGAAGAAGAAGGAAGAGGACAATTTATAGGTGAAAAAAAAGAGAGGGGCTATGAGAGACAAATTTGAAAAGTTGATTCTCTTTTTTGTCACCTTTTCTATTTCTTTATTACTATTATTAAACTTTTTCCTTTTTTAGTTTTTTTTTAATGATTTTTCCTAATCATCTGATATTTGAAACTTAATAATAAGACTAAACAATAAATGAGTCAACATATGTCAAGTGGTATGGTAAGTAGTATGGTAAGTTGAGTGATTTTGTGTCATAGTACATTCTATCATTAATTTGCATCAAAATTATTTTAAATTTATATTAAATAGAGTATTAGGATTGAAATTCAAAATTTATGATTAGACAGAAATTTTATCCATTTTATTTATGTTTTTACCTAATTTGTCACCTCTTTATATCTTTTCCTTTTATCATTCATTGATAATTTTCCTTCCTTAGATCATTACCAAATGTGCCCCTTTTTGTTTTATTTAATAATTTGTTATTTAAAATTTAGTGATATGATTAAAAATGTGAGTTGTGAGGAAAAAATGAATCAAGGGTAAAACTCTTTATCGATAAGTAGAAAATAAATAAAATGGTGTTGTAATTGGTTGTATGATTTTGCTATTATAGTTTCATAGATATATCATGTGTTACAACACCTCGTATTCTTAATTTGTGTTTAGATTAGATATACTTTATGTCAAATAAATAATAATATTTAAACAACTCAAAATTTATGAATAAAAATAAATAAATTTCATCTATTTTAATAATATTTTTGCCTAATTTGCCACCTATCCACTTCTTTATTTCTTTTCCTTCTTATCATTCATTAATATTTTTTCTTTCTTGGATCATTACCTAATGTGTCCTTAATCTGTTTTATCCAACAATCTGGTATTCAAAATTGAATGATATGGTTAAATAACATGTCAGTTGTGAAAAAATTAAACGATAAATAATAGAATATGTGTGATATGATGTTATCAAAAAAAAAAATACGTGATATGAATCGCAAATCAGTATCTTTAATTGATATTTAAGCTAATTTAAATTTATGTCAAATTAAATATTATAACTTTTACCTAATATTGTCTTTAACTTGTAGTAGTAAAAGACTTATGTCATATATATATATTGTTGTAATTTTTATTGTATTTTATAAGTGAGGTTTAATATATAACACATATGAACTTTGTTGGAGCCATCTATTTTGATTCTCTTCTCTGTCACATGTCCACTTCTTTAATTCTATTATTTTCCCTTTTATTATTTATCAAATAAAATAATGTTCCTTTATGGACCATTACCTAATGTCATGTCCTTTCTGTGTTTAAAATAATAATTTGACATTCAAAATTTATTGATACTACTAAAATAACACGTGATATATATTGAGTTATTATGATGGATGGCTCTAAGAGAAAATACAATTATGGGAAAAAGATATGATCAATAGATTTTAATGGGATTCAAATAATTGAGATAGTAATATCATTCTTAATCAGTGTTGAAAGGTCCACTCATGTTGGAAGAAGCATTCTCATTTAGTGATCGGTTCGCCACTTCAAACAAATCAGAAAAGATCACGATGACCATCTTATTACGTTGTATTCATCGAATATCTGACATTTTCTTAAGTGGTCGAGTGATTTTGCCGTCATAACTCACAATTACCATAGCATATGTTGCACATCTCGTATCCTTAATTTGCGACTACAACAATTTAGTTGGTTAACTGTCAATATCAGTCAAATGACTTGATAAAAAATGTATTCCAATCCGTCAACAGATGACACCTGTACCAACAAATGTGGGTTCCACATAGATATATTTTATATTTTTTGTATTTTCTTTTAATATGACACTAAAAAAAATAATCCACAAGTAAGAAAAAATAATTCTTTCAAGTGTGTCAACCACCATGGTCCAAGATTCAACATTTTTTAATTTAATTATGTCAGATGAATTTGTTTAGTCAAAAATGGTTAGTTGCCTAATTTTTTTAAGTTAAAAAATCATTATAGTAGTGGGAGTAATGTGACTATATTTTTTTCTGTCATTAATTCATTATAGCTATAGGCTGCGCCCACAAAAATGAATAGACATTTTTTAGTAATTAAATCTAAAAATATCTATAATCAATGTATATATTAAATCAATAAATTCATGAGATATTTTTTCCTATCATTTAATTATGATTAATAAATTGATATATTTGTTAACTTGATTTGTTGCTTAAGTTAAGTTACTTAATATATTAATACGTGCGATGAGTTTAAGCTTGCATTTGGAGATACATTTTGAATTTTCAAATTAGCATCTGATCATGTGATTCGGGAAGGGGCAGATCTAGGAAGGGGTGTGGGGGTGCCACGCCATCCCCGAACTTCGTTCGGAAACTCTATGTATACATAGGTATATATATATAATATTTATATAAATATAAAGCGTGCCACCCAAAAAACAAAACTGGCTTGTGGTGCTATGGTAGAAGGGCAATTTTAGAAGGCTGATGTTGCGGGTTTGAATCCCATTTGTACCTATTTTTTTGAGAAATTTGCTGCAGACGTTTTTTAAGGGAAAAAAAAGGCTCCAAGCACGTTTTTTTAAGAAAAAACAGCTGGCACAATTTATTTTATTTTTTTATAATTGTTATTGACTTCAATTAAATTAATTACATTATTACTCCTTTGACTTTTCTTTTATTTGATTAAATACTCAATAAAAGTGTAATATCTTATTGTTTATATTTTATTGATTGATTTATGATATATATCGAAAAGACGAATAATTTAATCAAATATAAAATTAATTTAATCGATAAATCTATTTGGCACCCACGGACTCTAAATCCTGGATTCGCCACTGAATTCGGGGTCATGCCAAATTTACCAAAAGACATGATTTAGGATTTCAAATTATGATCCCAACTTTTTAAGTTGTAAAACTTGACCCAAAAGTTCACAAGACTAATGCTCGACGTGGAAAAAATTGTTTGTATCATGTGAAATAATTATATTAAGGAATAACTAGTTACTACTATTATTGACTAGTGAATCTTTATAGCATTACGTGTATTTGAAGGTTTGTCATTGCAAACAATTTTTTTTGTAAAAGGAAACATGCAGATATACAATTTATCGATACGACGTCTTATGATATTTTGATATCTCATAAAGATTATGACACTTGGGCCAATGGCTTGGGCTCTTCCAAACTAATATGAGCTTTTCAGCCCAACACAGTGCAAAAACCTTCTTTAAATTTTAGCATCATTTTCTTTAGCATTTTAACCAATTATATTGTTGTGACAATTATATAATTATGTTCGTAATTTATGTTATTCTTTAAATTCCAATAGATGTTATACATAAATTTGGTATCAAGTTCTTGTTTTTACTAGCTAATAACGTGTTTGGTACTTTGGTTGACATTCTTTTGGTTATAGTTAGCAAATTTATTCTTTTGATTTCTTCAAATTAAAACACTCGAGGAGATATATTATTAGAGAAAGAACTATCTTATAATTTCTGGTTTGTGAATTTAATTATGATTCGAGCCTAAAGTCCTAACTTTGTATGCAATATAAAATTCACTCTATATCTAATTACATACTTGATTGTAAAGTCAACTATTGTTATATATTTACTTAACATCTCGTTATAAAAGTTCATAAACTTTAAATTCTTTGATCCGTATAAGTTAATACCTTTGGCTTGTGATTTTGTTTTGTCACGAGCTTTTGTCAATTAAGAGGTGGGCTCAAAGATTAAGAGCTCATTTTCATTCTTTGTATATGTCCCATTGTCTAAAAAAATCATTGAGAATGCACATTATTGAACTTAATATTAACATCAAAGCTCCAATTATATGGGCCAAGTATTGTCAAATCAAATGGGCCTCCACAAGCAATTCTAAAGCCACGTACCATTGTTTATTTAAAGACCTGATGACACTTCATTGACCTTTAGATAATACTCTTGAATATCGGAAAAAATATTCATATTCTTAATTCGCAAAAAGAACATAGTATCATATGAGCGTAATCTCTCAACTTTTAAATCAAATGTCTCGAATAAACACTGCTTTGCATCACCCATTTATTCTATACCAGACGCTATTTCATTTGCATACAACATTTGTATGACACAAGCAAGACATAAATCATAGTAATGAAAGAGTTAGGGGCCAATACGTGACTGATCCCGCTCTAACTAAAATATCATAAGAAGGGATTCCACTTCGAATGGCTCTATTCCATCATAGTTAGTCAAACATATCAAGATCCATAAGAACGATTGAGTGATTGAAATCGTAATACTACGCATATAATTGAGTAAAAACTAAAGGATATTTTGAGGACAACATTAATTTGTAACTCAAGATATCGACAACATCACCTTACGACAATAACATACTCAGTAGAATCTCATAAAAGTAGAGTTTGCGAAAAGTAAGGCAAGAAAAATTATACTCATGAAAATATAGACACTATTTCTAAAAGTCGCGAACTCACAACTAATAAAATGAGGCTTGCGACGAGACCCGAACACACTACCACTATGTGTAGCAAGTAAGATTCGAACCCGAATTTTTTCGGGTCATATAAAAGTTACTAGTATATAGTACTATATAAATATCTTTATCACCAGCATTCACGAGTACTCATTTGCCTCTTTTCTTAGTTTCTCCCATTTTTCTCTCATCCCTAAATCCGCAGAAGTCTCTGCATCGATCTCGATTCTTCTCCATCTTGGTTTATGAGGTAAACGATTCAATCTCTTTGTATTTCTCCTTGTTTTTCTGATTTTTTTCGATTTTTTCTGTTTGATATGTAATTACTTAGGGATTTGGATCTGATAATACCGTATCGATTTTCAGTATGAATGATTGTATGTATTTGAGTGTATAGTTGTAAGTTTTCTCAGGAATCGATCTACGTTTTTGTTAGTTAGGGCTTTTTTTGTTCCTTTAGTATTCCGAAGATCTGTTCTATGAGGAAAAATATTAGTTTGATTATGTTTTTATTGTTGTAATTTGAGGTGTTAATTTACAGGAAAACAACTGTAA